TTTTTTTTTTTTTTTAATTCAGCTGTTTTATGTCTTTGAAGAATCAAGGTTCCGATGTGCGGTAGCCTAATTTTGAAAGCGTGATTTCTAGACCTGAAAAGAGTCATCGAAATTAAAAACTCCATGGGCATTTTTATAATAAATATAAATTTTTCTAATTATGTAAAATTAATTAAATATTTTTAAAAATCTTTGTCCTTAAATCTTATCTAAGAAATCAAGAGAAACAGGAAAAGCCACTAAAACGGAAACCATGTATTTTTTTTAAATGTTACTTGAAATAAATAAACATTAACTTCAATACTTATTCTGCTCATGTTTAATAAATATGTAAGTAAATGAATGAATGAGTAAATGTCATATCACAAAAATCTGACAGAGGGCGGCAAGTTCCTGACAATTTGACTTGATAATACACTACCATTCAAAAGTTTGGAGTTTTTAAAAGAAATTAAACCTTTTGCTCAGCAAGGATGAATTAAGCTGGTCAAAATTGACAGTGAAGACATTTATAAAGACAAAACTATTTCTATATTTCAATAAAAAAGACTTTCTATTCATTAAAGCATTCTTAAACAATGTATCATGGTTTCCACAAAAATAAGCAGCAAATCAGCATATTAGAATTTCTGAAGAATCATGAGACACTGAAGACTGGAGTAATGATGCTGAAAATTCAGTTTTACATCACAGGAATTCATTTATTTATATTTCATTTTTAAAATGTTTACATATATTCAAATATAAAAGAATTCTTTTAAATCGTAATAATACTTCACATTATGTTTTTTACAGTATTTTTGACCTTGGTGAGCAAAACAAACTTCAAAAACATTCAAAAATCTTACCAACCCCAAACTTTTCTGTTTACTTTTCAGGATTTGATTAGAAGTCTTGTCTATACACAGTGTTACCCTTAAAACTCCTCTTCTGATCTTTGATGTCAGGCACATCTGTGCATTTCATTTGTTCTTTCCGCTTTCTGCTTGGACCTTGCAAATTGCTGCTTGCAGCCATATCCCAAGTGCTTATTCACAGTGACCGTTTCATTTAGATAATAAACTGTATAGCTCACCTCTCACTCAGCGTCTTCCAGTTTCTTCTTCTTGCTCTCGGGCATGAGGTCATCGAGCCAGCTGAGCTCCCGCTTTGTGAAGATAAAATCCAGCAGCTTTCTAATGAACACCAGCGCCAACACCTGCCGCGAGCAAATCACTAATTCAATTATCACATATTACTCGAAAACCATGAGTGGAAACAGTTAAGAGATGCTAGAACAAGGCAGTTACTCTATCAGACGTACGCTTAGACATGTTTGGCAGACTATATATATGTTTCCATGATCTTTCTGATTAGTATTGTGCCAACCTACATTTGAATTTTCTTTTACAAAACTAAAAATATAATTACAATTTTGCCTTTAAATGAGTTTGAAGGAGACTGAAGTAAATATGTCCAGACCTTTGACTACTAGTGTAAATTAACTTTGTACATACATGACAGATAAAGCTAGTTTACGCTTGCATACTGTGGTAAATATTAACAATAATATAAAAAAGTTCAGTATGCACCATCATGGGAAAGACAATGGCGGCTCTGGAGGTCTTGATGACCCAGAGGAGAACCAGGCAGCTGAGCTGGATGATGGTGAACAGATGAACCTTTCGGAGTGGAACGTGCCTCAGGTAAATGAAGTCTGGCTGGTGTTTAGCTGGCATCCCGAACAATCTCAAACGATCGAAAAACTAAAATGACAGAAAACAGGGGAAATATAATAACATTTTGTCAATTTGGCAAGTTCGAAACATTGCAAATGCTTCTACACTGTAAACAGACATTGTCTATAGTGTTTTTACCTGTATTCCTCTCAGTGAAGATGCACCCATGTAAAGGAAAACTCCATACAGCACCGGCATTGGAATAAACTAAGGAATACAGAAAATAAACATTTTCATACCTAATTTTTCACCCTGAGGTTTTGTGCAAAAAAGTTAGTATTATTTGATCACTTTTAGTGTTATATGACCACCCTGGAGTTTTAAAAGTGTTTTTATTGTATAATGATCTCTATGATTTGATTCCTCACAGTATGAACCCTTTTAACGTTCACTTCTAAAATAGCGCTTCTACTGTATAATTCAAACCGCACAATGCTAGCAAAACCCATGTTGTGGTTTCGCTTCCCAGGAAATGAATGAACTACCTTTGTGAAAAATAAGTACACTTTAGTACTTACTATGGCAATAATAATAATACTTAAGTGTGAACTTAAGGCACACCTTAATAATGGAACTGTTAGAATTTTTTTTTCCCCAGACATTTTTTTTTTAGATTTATTTTTGGCACTTTTGCCTTTATTACAACAGGGCAGATCAGAACTGACAGGAAGCGAAGTGGGAGAGAGATGGGGGGACGAGATCAGGATTCTCAGATAGATAGATGCGGGTGAAACTCAGGACGCCCGCAGCACAACAGCGCTGTATGTCAGCGCATTTCCCACAATGCAATTGATTAGTTAGTTTAAATTTAGTTAAAAATAGATACAAAGTAAAATAGTTTAAATTTATATGAAATGCAATTAGCTGAACTTTACAGTGCTTTTTGACCCACTTAAGCGGGGCTTAAGTACATCTTTGTATGTAATTTTGTAATTGCTTTTATAGTTTTCTGAAATATGCTTAAAGTGTACTGACTGAATGTACAGGCAAATAAATATGTAATTAAAATGTGACCCTGGACCACAAAACCAGCCAAAATAATAATTGAGATATATGTATCATCTGAAAGCTGAATAAATAAGCTTTCCATTGATGTATGGTTTGTTATGATAGGACAATATTTTGCCGAGATACAACTATTTGAAAATTTGGAATCTGATGGTGCAAAAAAATAAAAATATTGAGAAAATCGCCTTTAAAGTTGTCCAAATGAAGTCCTTAGAAATGCATATTACTAATCAAAAATTAAGTTTTGATATATTTACGGTAGGAAATTTACAAAATATCTTCATGGAACATGATCTTTACTTAATATCCTAATGATTTTTGACATAAAAGAAAAATCTATAATTTTGACCCATACAATGTATTGTTGGCTATTGCTACAAATATACCCCAGCGACTTAACACTGCTTTTGTGCTCCAGGGTCACAAATATACTTTAATGTAATTTCTATTAAAACTGTATGTTTGCAGTTACACATCTGTAATGATGAAGTTGCAATTTAGTACATATAAAATATATTAGCTTTAAATGTAATATTGAATAACACACTACAGCTAAAATTAATCAAGTACTTTACATGTGCTTCAGTATGTCAGTCGAACCAAGAGTACTTCTTAAAAGCACAACAAAATATAAAAACAATGATTTAAAAGTTTAAAGTGAAACTTTTAATGTAACATTATTTTTTTAAAGTGTACTTAAGAAACTTTTACTCACTTATGAGTACACACCTTTTATTTCAGTAATATTATATTCTTTTTAAAAAATATACTTTTAAGATTTGAATGTACTACAAGTTCACATTTAATATAATTAATCACACTTTTTCACTTCAAGGGTGTATGCATGACATGTAGAGCTTGAATGCAATGCAAATCATTTTGGATAAAAGCATCAGCCAAGTGCATGAATGTAAATGCAATTACGAATATCTTGATTATTGAGCTCCAGACCTTCAGCACTGAGGTCATGAATACGGAGCAGCCCATGAGGAGGAAGATCATGAGGCCGGTGACCCGCTGCTCTCTGATCCCGAGGAACTTGGGCTGTTCTCCGGGCGCCGAACACTCGGACTCCAGCTTCAGACTGTTGACGTGAGTGATGGACAGAACCGTCGCTGCCACGAACCACGGCAGCCCCATCAGAGAGCAGACGCCCAGCATCACGCCCACCATGAACAGGTCCAGATGATAGCCACAGCCTTTCTGTAGAAACAAGACGTCAAACGAAGGGTTAACTCATTTCATTCAGACTTGAAAACAGTTTGAAGAAACTAGCAGCACCTTGAGCTTGTGCTCCTTCCTGTTGATGATCACAGCTGTGATCTGCTGGTCCATAAAGATGAGGATGGTGCAGAGGAGGGCGGGAATGACTGTAATCACACACGTCCACCACGGGTTCGGACCCAGCGGGTTAACGAACCACCCACGATCGTCACGAGTTGGCTGAAAACATATTGCAAGACTTATTAAAACATATTAAACTGGCCAGAAAACATATTAAACTGGCCAAATCTATTCTTATCAAGTCTATTAATACATATAAATATATATATATAACATATGGCTAACAAAAAAACTTTGAACATTGTTTTTTTGTGAAGATAAGTGCATTGAACTATTTGTTTAATTGTACATAACACTGCATATTTCAATGTATATTTATTCTGGTTCTTTTTTCACATCATATTTTTAACACAAATTTTATAATTTTATATTGCATATAGGGTTGGGAATTGAAAATCAATTCCAATTCCAGAATCGGATACTTAAGGTCAGGAATCAGATACTTGTTGTAAAATTAAAATTTTAATTCCACCTATCGCAATTTAGTACATATAAAATATACTAACTTTAAAGTGAATACTAAATAACACACTACAGTTAAAATTATAATCAAGTACTTTACATGTGTCAACAAATCAATATAAGTGTACTTCTTTAAAGCACAACAGAAGATTATTCAAACATAATTATTTAAAAGTGAAACTTTTAATCTAACATTATTAAAGTGTGGCGTGCTTTTTAAAAGTGCACTTAAGTGTGTTACGAAACATAGTCATTAATTTGACTCTTTTAGTACACTTAAGTGGCCTTTTATTTTAGTAACATTATATTATTTTTAAATATATACTTTTAAGATTTGAATTAACTACAAGCACACATTTATTATAATTAAGCATGCTTCTTTTTCACAAGGGTGTATGCATAAAATGTAAACGCATCAACCAAATGCATAAATCTAAATGCAATTATGGATATCTTGATCACTGAGCTCCAGACCTTCAGCACTGAGGTCATGAATACAGAGCAGCCCATGAGGAGGAAGATCATGAGGCCAGTGACCCGCTGCTCTCTGATCCCGAGGAACTTGGGCTGTTCTCCGGGCGCCGAACACTCGGACTCCAGCTTCAGACTGTTGACGTGAGTGATGGACAGAACCGTCGCTGCCACGAACCACGGCAGCCCCATCAGAGAGCAGACGCCCAGCATCACGCCCACCATGAACAGGTCCAGATGATAGCCACAGCCTTTCTGTAGAAACAAGACGTCAAACGAAGGGTTAACTCATTTCATTCAGACTTGAAAACAGTTTGAAGAAACTAGCAGCACCTTGAGCTTGTGCTCCTTCCTGTTGATGATCACAGCTGTGATCTGCTGGTCCATAAAGATGAGGATGGTGCAGAGGAGGGCGGGAATGACTGTAATCACACACGTCCACCACGGGTTCGGACCCAGCGGGTTAACGAACCACCCACGATCGTCACGAGTTGGCTGAAAACATATTGCAAGACTTATTAAAACATATTAAACTGGCCAGAAAACATATTAAACTGGCCAAATCTATTCTTATCAAGTCTATTAATACATATAAATATATATATATAACATATGGCTAACAAAAAAACTTTGAACATTGTTTTTTTGTGAAGATAAGTGCATTGAACTATTTGTTTAATTGTACATAACACTGCATATTTCAATGTATATTTATTCTGGTTCTTTTTTCACATCATATTTTTAACACAAATTTTATAATTTTATATTGCATATAGGGTTGGGAATTGAAAATCAATTCCAATTCCAGAATCGGATACTTAAGGTCAGGAATCAGATACTTGTTGTAAAATTAAAATTTTAATTCCACCTATCTATTCCTGTGAGCGCATCTTTTTTTTTTTTTTTTAAGTTGGTAAAAATGTATTTGCCTTTGAATCATTCATTCAAGAGATTCATTCAAAAACACTGATTCATCCAGTAATGAAACAAATACATCTCGATTAAGTCATTGAACCATTCCATTCATACATTCCATGAGATTTTTAGTTGTCTAATATTTTTTCTTCAGAATTGTGAGAGCTACAACCTTCATTTAAAAAAAAAAAAATCCCAATATATTGTGCAGCTCTATTTTGCACACATTGTTATGTAGCCGGCTGATTTTTGTTCATGGTAATCAGCAGCAATTAAATGTTTTGCAAAAAGATACATAGAATAAATATGTTTAATATCTAAATGTTAGACACCCTACCCTAATTGTATATTCCTTAATATATCCCTTGTGAATGACAACCCTTTGTATATTTTCTAAAATGTTTTATTTCTATAACTTATTCTACTTTTACAGCCCACAATATCACATTTGTGTTAATTAAATAAATTAGATTAATACAAAAATACATTTAATTAAATATTAGTGAACTAGAAAGTAAAGTGTAAAAGTAAAGTCTGATGTTGGCTTGAGAAAGCCTAGTCTGCAAGTTTAAAATGCTTTGAAAAATTTAAAACCGAAATTAAAAGCTTGAAGTTTAAAGGTTTTTATATTAAAGTAGTTTGAAAAGCCTGATGTTTAAAAGACAGACAGACAGACAGATAGACAGATAGATAGATAGATAGATAGATAGATAGATAGATAGATAGATAGATAGATAGATAGATAGATAGATAGACAGACATATAGACAGATAGACAGATAGACATATAGACAGACAGACAGACATATAGACAGACAGATAGACAGATAGACAGACAGTCAGACAGACCGATAGACAAGACAGACACACAGACAGACAGAGAGACAGATAGATAGATAGATAGATAGATAGACAGACAGACAGACAAGACGGATAGACAGACACACAGATAAATAGATAGATAGATAGATAGATAGATAGATAGATAGATAGATAGATAGATAGATAGATAGACAGACACAGATAGATAGATAAATAGATAGATAGATATAGACAGACAGCCAGACATAGATAGATAGACAGACAGACAGACAGACAGACAGACAGACAGACAGACAGACAGACAGATTCAAGCCAACATCATAATAATTGAAACTGTAAGACATAAACAAACCTTAAACACATTAGGGACCTTCAGTTTGGGGGAAGGCACTCCTAAAGCGTAATCCACCAGAACCATCGTAAAAATAGTGATGAAGACTGCAAAGTCACTGATGATGGCTCTGACCTGGAGGAAACAGGATTTACTTTTGTTATTCTCCTCCTCACAGCAGCAGCAGATACTCCACAGTATCACTAGAGAGCACCAGAGTGCAAAGAACTACAGCATCGTGACATAAACGCCGCCGCAGCAGCAGTGGCTCTCAGACAGACGGTGGGCGGTAATGACTGCAGTACCTTGGTGGGGAAGTAGCGGCTGGTCTTGAATTCTTTGAGGAACGCTGCCATGGCCACAGTAGAGAAGAAAAGGACTATAGACCAAAAGAGAACATCAGGAACGTACGGACCATGAGGCCCGCAAGCCGACCCCACAAATTCTCCTTTCTTCTCAATGCAGTCCTGAAATGAGAAAGAGAAATAACGGGTTAGGCTTGCTATTTTATTTCTTCAAGTAATAGTTCACTCACAACAACAGGATGGTGAGTAAATGATAACAATTGATTAATTTTAGGGTGAACTCTTGAAATGCTGTGCGTTACTGAATTTCTCAATCACACACACATCTGCTTAACATGCTGCTATTTTCCCTCTTGCCCATTAAAAGACGAGCAGCAGCAATGATCTTTTTTTAGCTTTTATAGTGATTTATCAGATGTAATCCAGCTCAAATTTCCTTAATCTCACTTAACAGCCCTGCTCCATCATGCCACTCAAATAAGACATTTTTAATTCCCATAAAACATAACATGCTTGGAATAACTTTGTTTAAATGTAAAGCAAATGTGGAGTTGATGCAATGCAGGTTATAAGACTAAAATAACAGTTGGCATTTTTCTCAAAATGTCTCATTTGTGAAATATTTGGAAAATTTTATGATTTTGACAATTTTGTTTTCACAAAATTATACATCATTCCACTGAAACCATACATAAGTGGTCAATGTTATGAATATTATGAGTATTTGATCCATCAGGCTTTTATGGCTCATAATATACGATATATTAAGAATATAAAGCTCAAACTTGATATTCAGAGCCCTAAAGTGATCAAAAATATCCAGTTACTGATACTGGTATTTATATGGCCAAAAAGTAAGATCAATTTCTGATTCTTGTAATGTAAATCGATAAGATATTATAACAGTATAGCAGATACTTACATAAAATGACAAATATCAGTTGTCTCTCGATATCTCTACATAATAATATGTCTTAGTAGGTTTATTTATGATTAAAGCTCTGTAGTTTCAAAACATATAATGGAGTGCAATAAAATGACTCAGAGATAAACAAATAAACGTTTCTCAAAAGCCTGATGATCATATTTGATATTCACATTTGAACAGGATTTTTCTAAAAAATGCTGTCTGGATAATCAAGTAAACTGAAGCTACTTCAGTAAGTAAGTGACCAGTAAGTGTTCATCTTGAAATATTAATAACAATAACAAAGTTATTCTTATGGCTACATTATAAAAATCAGTAAAGATTTCACCGCAAAAGACACATGATCCGCAAGCTGAAGGTGGACGTTTGTACGATTATACTAAAAGACATTTTACTTGCTAAAAAGTATAAACTATCAATCAAACGACAGAAGGCATGTAGTAGATTGTGCACATCATGATTTTAGTAAAGATTAGAGGCCTTAGAAATTTGCTAAATAGGATACAGCAGGCTTTACAGGGTTAAAATCAGTTGTAAACCAGGTCAGGGATTCTCAAAAGACACAAATTCTACTCTGACCTGAACTTCCAGAGCCTCCCAGAAGATCTCCGGAGCTGAGATGTTGTTCTGCTCCCAGTATTGAAGAGTGGCATTGCTGGGGTTTGCAGGCTCAATACAGGAACATCTACAAGAACAGAATATTGAGGGTAAAATGCATTTGTTTTTTAATACTACAGCATGCTGATCTTCTGTACAGCACTGGAATCTAAATTAGGCTACTCTGAGTCTTTCATGCCATTCCAACCAGTGTTCACCTGTAAGTGGTGAGTTTCTCCAGATTGTTGTTCATGTTAATGGGATACGTCTCCCCGAGATGAATGAGCTTCTCCAAGGCCTCGTAGATGAAGATGATGCAGATGAGAGAGGCGAAGGCCTCCTCCGTGAAGCGTGTGATGTAACAGACGAGGGAGCTGGCATCAGTGGCCACCAGCAGCAGACAGAGGAACGCCGTCCACAGCCCAATACACGCCCTGAGGGACAGATACGACAGCCCGTACTCCCTGCGAACAAACACACCGCGAGCCACGACTCATGTTAACACAGTCTGAGGCTTACACGGGCCGTATGACGTTTGAGTTATTGGACAGTTTGGTGAGAGATTTCAAGTCTGAAGAGATGTAGGTCATGGTTAGCTGTTAATAAGATATTCTGAGTGGTTGCTAAGTGGTTTCTAGTCTTTTCTGGGTTCTAGAGTAATGCTATGGCATTCCAGGTGATTGCTAGATTAGATAGATGATTGAACGAACGAACGAACGAACGATAGATAGAACAAACGGATGAACAAAAGAACAAATGATATAGATAGATAGAATGAAAGAACAAACGAGCGAACAAAAGAACAAATTATATATATATATAGATAGAACAAACGAGTGAACAAAAGATATAGATAGACAGAAAGAACAAACAAGTGAACAAAAGAACGAATGAACAAACGATATAGACAGACAGACTGAAAGAACAAACAAAAGAACAAACGATATAGATAGATACAAACCCGATTCCAAAAAAGTTGGGACACTGTACAAATTGTGAATAAAAACAGAATGCAATGATGTGGAAGTTTCAAATTTCAAACAAACGAGCGAACAAAAGAACGAATGAACAAATGATATAGATAAGATAGATAAGATAGATAGATAGATAGATAGATAGATAGATAGATAGATAGATAGATAGATAGATAGATAGATAGATAGATAGATAGATAGATAGATAGATAGATAGATACAGGTGCTGTGTGTACATTAATGAGGAAAAAAAATTTACTTAAATGATTTTAGCAAATGGCTGCAATATAACAAAGAGTGAAAAATGTAAGGGGGTCTGAATACTTTCCGTACCCACTGTAGATAGATAGACAGATAGATTTAAATAAGTGTTCGCACTAAGGAATATAAAACAGAATTTTCAATATTAGACATACTTGCAGAATTTGAATAATATTTTCTCAAACACCAGGACGGGTCCGGTGCTGCCCAGAATAGTGAGAGGCTGGCCGGCAAAAAACGAGTAAGCAATTCCAGTCATGGAGGCTCCAAACAGAGATTCAATTGCACTCTGGAAAGAAGGGAGAATATGTCACAAAGCATCATGTTTACATGACTGCACTAATATAGATTCAAGTATTAATGACTAGCCAACTAGACCAATTAGATGTGCCTGATGTGTTCAGGTGTTCTTACTATGCGTCCCTCTGTGGCTTCTCCCAGCAGTCCTCCGAAGGTGATAACAGGGGACATGCAGGCGCAGTACAGGAACAGGAAAGAGGCCAAACACTGCAGGCTGAGCGCATCTGTGAAATCCGACAGGAAGTGCGGAGCCTTCCTCTTCACATCCAAAACCAATCCACCAAAAAGCCTGACAAAAAACACCAGACACAAGATTACTGCCGTCTGAGCTGCGCAAAGAGGTGGAAAACTGGCTTAAACCGAATTCAAAGTGTTTTTTTCATCCAAACGGTCATTACTATAATGCAAAAAAAGTACTATTACTTACATTTTTATTTTTATAGTACTGTATTACAGTAATGAAAATTATAGGAATTTGGAAAAAAAAAAAAAATGCATTACAGGAATTTGTGTAATTCTCCTGAAAATAATGTCACAATGCAAAACAATTTTAATGCACCTAAAAATACTCTTCATTATATTATATTATATAGAATATACTAAAAATTTGTCTTCATTTACAACCTATTATTATTGATTGATTGATAATGTTATTTGATTTCATTTTGTTTTTCTTGCAAACAACAACAGAAAAAGAAGTTTATCTATAGGATGGCTGGAGTTTTTTCTCCATGTGCCGACACATATGTGAAATATTTCTCACATGAAGTCACAGTTTTCTAACCAGTGTTGTTTCACAGTAGGACAGAAAGAAAGACAGAAATGTGAATATGTAATATGAAAAAACAGTTGCACTGTCATAGGGACAAAAATATATATTCGGGCTGCACGATTATGACAAAAATCATAATTGTCGATTATTCCTTTGAAATTGTAATTGCGATTATTAATTTTACGATTAAATGAATGATGTTTACACACCTTTGTTTGAAGCAACACCATGTCGTATTTTTATATGAAAATAAACAAGCTGTAAACACTAACTGAAAAACTTTTAGTGCTTTTCTATAGTATTAAGCCTCAAATGTCAAATATACATCGGATTGGTTTCTCTTTAAATAAAAAGGTAAAAATACGCATGGTATTATAATGTTAAAAAACTAAAAACTAAAACTAAAACTAAAACAATGGAAAAACCCTTGAGATAACATGTAGAAAGAAAAAAAAGCATCATATGCATGCAGAATAACATAAGTGGACTTTAAACGATTAATTGCTGCTTTGAACAATTATGTAATTGTAATTGCGATTAGAAATTGGATTAATTGTGCAGCCCTAATATATATTTTAATTTAGTAAATGCTAAATACAATTTCATAGCCTGTATTAAATACTTTAAACAGCAAATTTTCACAATTCACCCGCCATTGACTAGTGTGGCAAAAAATATGTATAATATGGATAAAATGGTAAAAAAATATTCAACCAATTCAGCTATTTTAAATCCATTCTTTAATCCATTTTTGTATAAAAGTGTCTTAATATTTGGCATTCTGATAAAAATGAGTCAAAAAAGAGATAAAATCAAAATAGATCTGTCGCACTAGAAATGCAAGGTCAAATCGAGACCACTGCATTCTGGAAAACAGTATTTTCTGTAGCACAATTTAGCAAATATCATCCAGATATTTCATGCATACAGAAAAACTACATTTTGTGCACAGTGTAGACATACGATATAAGGCATAATTCTTTAAACAGAAAGAAATATTAATTAGGGCTGATCAGATATGATCGCTGCGAACCATTTGGGAGAAAAGAGCCATCTGAGAACAGAAGGGGATTATTGTTGTGAGAAGAGAGAAAGTCACTCAAAGTTGTGAAAACTGTCACTCAACAGGAAGAGTGTGACCAAATGTCAAACATGGCGTCTGTCCAGTTCACTGGAGAGTTGAAAACCTGGTCTTCAAGTGGCACGGCTCTCGGTTACATTGTAGTACAGAATGAAAGCATTGTCCTAAATGATCTGCATTATTACAGTATGTGCCCTTTAACTGTCATAATGAACGCAACGGTGAGCTGTGTGACCTTTTACAGCCATTTGGCTTCAAAAAGGAACATTTTATTTCTCAGAGGCTGTCCTTTCATAGTTCATGCAATTAAGCCGTTAAGACACTACAGGCAAAAACACTGTTTTTTCATGCAATGGTTACTTTTGAGATTCTGGATTATTTGGCATTTCGTAACATATTGTTTCAGACTAATGGACAGAAAACTTCCAGCATGCACTTTTAAGTGTTTGTTTTATTGCACTTTATCTATTTGCATCTGTAAATTTCATTTTTCTTCATTTCAGCTGCACTTACATACACCAAACTTTACAGTTTTACTCCTATCTGTATTCTGAAGGTTTTTACAGAAGGGTTTGCTTATGTATAATTTTCCTAATTTTATACAATACATTATTCCTAAAAACATGGTAAAAAAATAAAAATAAATATATATAAATTCTATCTGTTGACAATATTTTCTGATTTGAAGAGTGATAAAAAGAGAAATCCAAAATCAAACAAGAATTTTGAAAATAGCATTATTCAATGTTCAGATTTCTGTTCCAAAATTAATGCAATTAGTGCATATTTAATTAGATGATACTTCATTTGCATAATCAAACATCATATTTCAAAAAAGTGTTGTTTTAGTATCATTGAGAAACTATTATAGTTTTTATTATTATTTTGAATTTGTTTTTATTTTTACATTTTCGGTTTCATTTTCATTTTCAAGTTTTAGTACTTTTGTTGTATTTATTTAGTCATTTTTATTCGTTTTTGTGTTTTTTAAATGTCTACATAGTTTTTAATCATGTTCATTTCCGTTTAAGTACATAAAGTTAAACTAAATGAAAACGAGAAATGTTGCTTCGGCAGCTAGCTGAAATAAAAGTTTGCTGAAAAATATATTTAAAAAAATATTTTTGCTATTTCAGTTACAAAAATACAAAAATATTTTATTAAGGCTTTAGTTTTAATTAACTATAATAACCCTGATAATTAGTGCTGTCAAATGATTAATCGCGATTAATCGCATCCAAAATAAAAGCTTTTGTTTGCATAATATATGTGTGCGTTCTGTGTATATTTATTATGTATATATAAATACACTCACATACAGTATATATTTTTAAAATATTTACATATCTATATTTATATTCATATAATTTATATTATAAATAAATATATTTAATATATAAACATAACCTATTTTTCTGAAATATATACATGCATGTGCTTGTATTTATATATATATATAATAAATATACACAGTACACACACACACATATATTATGTAAACAAAAACCTTTATTTTGGATGCGATTAATCGCGATTAATCGTTTGACAGCACTACTGATAATACAAAAATGTGTCAAATTAATTTAAAGAAATATGAGTATAGATCAATAAAATGTGAATAACAGCTCAGGTCATTTGGAAAAAATTCATGATAAATGTTTTCACATTGATTAAAGATTCCATATTGACTTTGGTTTCTAGGCACAGCTGTTAAGATTAAATTAAAATCTCTTCTGAGATTCTAGAGGACACAGGAAAAAAAAAAGCAGGAATCTTCGGCAAACGCCTCCATTTCCTCTAAAAGGAGATATTAAAACGATCTCATTTATGATTTTTATTTTCGAAGGTTTTCACACAAACTGACATGTGATTGTGATGTGTCTACACACACACACACACACACACACACACTCCAGACTGACCTCCCGGTGCGCTGCAGCTCAGGGCCTCCGTGTCCACCATGTTCCTCCGGCTCTGCCAGCTCTCCATTAGGCACTGCAGGGATCTTTCTCTTCTCCTGTTATATCAGACACACAGACAGAGGAGTGTTTGCAGTGATAGTCCTCAGACGTTCTGCTTAGTGTTGGTTCTAAATCTGTGACTGTACATATTAAACTACTGCAATTATTTCAACATGCAAACATTTGTTTTTGGACAGCTATGATGTCATCATAACATCTGCATACTGCATTATGATTGGTCTTGTGTTACTTGCATTTATTAAACTAATTTATAGTTGTAATTACACTGCATAGCTGAATCATTTACTCACCGTGATGCTGTTCTAAATAAGTTTTTGGTTGGTAAGATTTTTTAATGTTTGTTGAAATATCTTATGCTCATCAAGGCTGCATTTATTTGATCAAAAATACAATCAAATTGTGAAATATTATTACATTTGAAATTATATGTCTTATATGTTAATATATTGTGAAATGTAATTTATTTCTGTGATCAAAGGTGGATTTTCAGCATCATTGCTCCAGTCTTCAGTGTCACATGATCCTACAGAAATCATTCTCATATGCTGATTTGCAGCTTATAAATGCCTTTACTATCACTTGTGACTAATTTAATTCATCCTTGCTTAATGTAAGTATTAAACAGTAGTGTAAAGGATTTTCTTGTGCTTATTTTTAGAGACATGCTCCCCAAAAAGGTCTTCTTTTTGTATTCCGTGGTAGAAACAAGTCATGCTGGTTTGGGACAGCATTACAGCAAGTAAATAAGGCCAGAATTGTAATTTTGGGGTTGATTATTTCATTAAAGTGTTTAAAATCTCAGGGGGCATGTCAAACAAATCATTTAGATCATCAGGGTTCAGATGAATCACTGTATGCTCAGTGGTTCCTCAGATGAATGCCTGCATGCTGCTCTTATCTCACTGAACAGCACTGAAAAGGGGTCAATTTTCACTCTTTTCTCTCACAGTACAGTGTTAATCATCTCTTCAATATTTTCTAGATAGAGACTCAACAGCAAATGCTCCATTTTAATCTTTATAACCAGATGGAGACTCACAGCCAGCTGTGCTTTTATAAATCACGTGCATTACATCACACTTACTATACATACACATGTGGCAGAAAACACTGACTTTAACTTAGCAAACAGTTTTTCATTTTATATTAACCACAATAAAGCCATGGGATACTTTTAAACACTTTTGAAGGAGGAATATGAGTGACATGCACTTCATGATGCTTTTCCTTCACTAAGCACTGCACCTCATTCCTGTCAATGTAATTCAAATTTTCAATTTGCACAAAAATTCATATTTATGCACAATTTGCATTCGTCTACATACATTTAACCATTTCATGATCTTTAGATCAAAAGCCTTTTAAGATCATGAGAAACACATTTGTGACCCTGGAGCACAAAAGCAGTCTTAAGTCGCTGGGGAATATTTTTAGTAATAGCCAAAAAAACATTGTATGGGTCAAAATTATAGATTTTTCTTTTATGCCAAAAATCATTAGGATATTAAGTAAAGATCGTGTTCCATGAAGATTTTAAATTTCCTACCGTAAATATATCAAAACTTAATTTTTGATTAGTAATATGCATTGCTAAGAACTTCATTTGGACAACTTTAAAGGCGTTTTTCTCAATATTTAGATTTTTTTGCACCCTCAGATTCCAGATTTTCATATAGTTGTATCTCCATACATGTACAAACCATACATCAATGGAAAGCTTATTTATTCAGCTTGCAGATCATGTATAAATCTCAATTTCAAAAAATTGACCCGTATGACCGGTTTTGTGGTCCAGGGTCACATACTTAGTCTTTTGACTAAGTTTTCTTTAACTTCAATCCTTCTGTTTTCTATCCTACTTCAGCTCTGTGTTGTCTTACTGTAAGTTTCTCTGGTTAATACAGTAGTTTCTGTTTCACTGACCTGGGACGGGACGTTTTTTGGCGGCTCTATCCTGATGGACGGGTCCCATTCTCCCGGTGGCAGAACTGTAACTTGGTCAAGAAATTCATCAATTCCTGCAATCAGATCATTGCGGTCTTTAGCTTTATAGGCCACATCATGGAAAACCTACAAAAGACAAAACCAAAACATTCTTAGTCAAAAATTTATGGATATTGATTTCCACCACAAAATAAAGCATAAAATTAAGTTCATATCTCAAAATTCCTGACCTTTTTTAAATAAATATTTATATTTTTAATTTCTATTTATATTTCTATAAATATATATTCTGGAAAAAAAAGTCATTTGTGACATAAACTCCCAATTGCAATGAAAAGTCAGAATTATACGATAAAAAGTCACAATTACCTTTAATATTTTTTCTATTTCATGGCGGAAACAAAATTGCAAAAAAAGAAAAACAATTTGTGAGATATACAGTAAACTCAGAAGTCGGAGGAAAAAAATAAAAGTTGAGATGTAAACTCAAAATTCTGAGAAAAGTCAGAATTGATCATGTAAACTCAGAATTCTCAGAAAAACAGTCAGAACTGCGAGATGCAAACTCAGAATTCCGAGGGAAAAAAGTCTGAATTGCAAGATGTAAACTAACAATGCTAAGAAAATGAGTAGAACTGCAAGATGTAAAATTCGGTTACACTTTACTTGAAGGGGTGTGCGTAAGACTGACATGACACCTTCATAATCATGACATGACACACGTCATGAATATGAAGGTATTTTATGCATGTTTATGACAACTGTCATTAAGTGTCATTCGCTCAGTTATGTCTCCTTCATATACATGACATATGTCATGTCATGATTATGAAGGTGTCATGTCAGTCTTATGCACACCCCTTCAAGTAAAGTGTTACCTAAAATTCAAATAAATTCTGATAATAAAAAGTCAGAATTACGAGATTTAACTCTGAATTTTGAGAAAAGTGAAAATTATGAGATGTAAATTCATAATTCTGAGAAAAAAGTCAGAATTGCAAAAAATGTAAATATTAATTTTGAGAAAAGTCAGAATTGTGAGATGTAAACTCAGAATTCCAAGAAAAAAAAAGTCAGAATTGAAAGATTAACTAAAAAAATGTTTTTAAAAAATCAGAATTGCGAGATGTAAACTCAGAATTCACAGAACAAAATTCAGAATTGAAAGACATAAACTCAAAAAAAAAGGTGAGAATTGAAAGATATAAACTCAAAAAAAAGGTCAGAATTGCGAGATCTAAACTCAGAATTCAGAGGAAAGAACGCACTAAAACATTTTGGCCATTATTATTCCATTATTCTGTTTGTGTTTCATGAAAGAAAGAAAACAATGCCATAAATAAATGATTTTCATTCTAAGACAAGCTATTTCTTTAAGACTTCATATACTGGAAGCCTGGTAGAAAAGTACATATTCACGCCCTTCAATAATGTCTTAAGATGTTGCCTTAGCAACATCAAGCAGCAGCTTGGCACGAGGGTGGTTTTCTGGCTAATTAGCAGTCATTTGCATGTTATTATGGCTGTTCTGTAAATCTCCTCTGCACCTCAGAGACTAAGTGAGAGAGAATCTGCTGAGCTGTGAAAGACCTCAGGAGTCTCCAGTGCTCTCATCTCTGTGAGAAGAACGCTTCAGTCTGCATGAAATCCAGTTGATTCAAGCAATAAGCCACTCACGGCTGGGAATTTGTGAGGTGTTTTTACATACAATGCAAGGCAAAGCAACAATTATATGATAAAAGATGGAAATGTTCAATATTGAGTTACATTTATTAATATTAATGGGTCATTCCTTCCATGCAGTACAGTTTCGTGTCTCTCTTAAGAGTTTTTTTAATGTAAATCAAAATAAATTCCTTTTAGCATATTTGAGTTAATAAATGTTTAATTATTTAAAGCAAATTTTAAATTATTTAACCTTGGTTTGAGCGGATGACAAAAACTGTTTTTTAAATTTTTTTTAAGAAATATCCTTGGTGTCTCTTCATTTTTTTTCTTTCTCTAATTGAAACGTATCAAACAAAATAGCTTTCTCCTTTGAGTATTGTGTTGATAGATAATTATTTTGTATGTTATTCCATTCCCATTCATTCTTTAATTAACAAAAGCCAGTTCCTAAATTATATAATCTTCCAAGAAGTGACATTGATTTGATGAACTCTGTTAGGTTTTCTGTGGTATTAATTGTTTTGTATCTCTCTAAAAATTTACTGTTAGATCAAATTACAGAAACTGGAACGATTCAAATTTAGAAAGTATAAAATTATGAATATAACAAAAATTCAATATAAACAAAAAATAAGCCTGGACCACAAAACCACTCATAAGGGTCAATTTTTTGAAATTGGGATGTATTCATCATCTGCTTTCCATTGATGTATGGTGTGTTAGGATAGGACAATATTTGTCCGAGATACAACTATTTGAAAATCTGGAATCTGAGGGTGCAAAAAATATCAAAATATTGAGAAAATCGCCTTTAAAATGATCCAAATGAAGTTCTTAGCAATGCATATTACTAATAAATTTACGGTAGAAATTTACAAAATATCTTCATGGAACATGATCTCTGCTTAATATCCTAATGATTTTTGGAATAAAATAATTTATCAATGCTATTTATCGTTGGCTATTGCTACAAATATACCCGTGCTACTTATGGCTGGTTTTGTGGTCCAGGGTCACATATAAAAAACAAAAATCAATTATTGAATCAAATATTTTCAAGTAGACAACTTTTTGTAAGTAGACTTTCCTTTTTAATAACTAATTAGTTGGTTTGTGTCACTCTAAAAATTCCCGTTAGATCAAATGACAGAAATCGGAATGACAACATTTTTAAAAACATACATATCAAAATATTTTTCAAATATATTATCAATTATTTGATTCAATAACTTCAAGTTGACGGCTCAGACTTTCATTTTCATAAATGCAGCTCATTTAATCAGAATTTAGAATTAGAACTCTTAGCTTTTTTTCAAATTGATTTTGAATGATTCTAAATGCCTCTGGATCAAAGATAAAAAGTGAACACAAGAGTACTTTGTTAAAAGCTGTAAACAACTGTAAAACAACTGCATGCCCTCTTACCTCATCTGTCATTAAAGTAGCAATCGATCTGCCAATCTCGTGATATTGTGGTCCTTTACCCAGAGGCCCCAGCAGGATGAACAGGAACCTGACAGATCAGCCACAAAACAGTAATGGAACTGGTGTCAGGTTATCAATATAGACTAAACCGTCCAGTTCTATGCTCACCTGGTGGTAATGGGCACCTCTGCTAGGCCGTTCAGCAGTACAGCAGGAGAGAGGCGGACAAATGCCACGACAGGCCTGTCCAGAAACTCCAGCTCTCCAACCAAAACATTAGAGGCCTCTGCACCCGGAGGAATCTTCTTCATGAAGTGCAGGTCTATCTACACACAAAACATTATGCAGTCAGGTTACTGAAATGCACATGCACACTGAGAACAAAGCCTGGCATGGATGTTTTGAACAGGTTTATTATACAGACCTTATTATACAGACTAAATAGATTTTAAAAGTTGAGCCATCTGTAAATTGAATACTTTAGCAGTTATATACTGTAGATGTTCTTAAAAAAAAAAAGACAAAAACACAACAAAATTACTCAAATGTTAACTACAATTTTAATGAAAATGTAAAAAAAAAAATGTAATTCAAAATGTTACTTAACTAAAAAACATTCAAAATATAAATAAAAACTATAACAGTACCTCGATAATACAAAAAAAACCTAACCTCAGTATTTTCAAGCCATAATTATGCAACCCATCCATATCTAGGATTCTAAGTGATTTTCACATCTGGATATGGAATATTAAAAAGCATGAAAAACAAATTCATAAAGCTCTTTATAAAATTCTGGAATTCTGGTTCCTATGGAAATGCGTTCTTAGGCTGGTTTAGGGTCAAAGGTCAAAATGATGTACAGAACCAAAGAGATTATGTATGTTTGCATAATGCAAAAGGCCATGTGTTGTGTAAGATTTCATAATATTACTCTCTATATTAATGCAGCATTTCATCACGACCCCTGTGACCCCTGACAGCACCGCAGCCGCTCTCTCATCTGTTCATGGGATCACAACACTATACCCACTTAATGCAAGAAACAAAACAGTCCAATGTCAGGGAAAGAGGGTTTCAACCACAGTGTGTTTGAAGCGTAATCCCTCTTCCCAGAACAGACAGACGGCAGACGGAAACGCTTCAGAGAACTAAACACTGAACACTAGAACCTTGTACATATGTGCCAATTACCTGAGCTTTAAACACTGTGAGTCTGTACATATGGCTTGAGCTTTCTTACACAAATCCCACAGAGATTAAAGTGTAAAACTCAGTTTAAGGTGTTCCTCAGCGGCATATGAGCACTGACACATCCTATTACAATGTGCTAATTTGACAATGGAAGCTAATTTGACCAGAAATAGCAAACATTTTATGAGCACAGGAAAGAATGAAAGGGAAACATGTTCAGGTCACAGTTCGCCATGCAATCAAAGCAGGAAAAACAACAAATTAATATTGAAAATATTATATAATATAATATACAAAATGAAAATTAAGTCTATTTTTATGACCACTATTTTTTCCTCTTTTTTTTTGCATTTTTAAATGATTTTCAATCACATTTTCCAAAAACTCTCATTACCGTAATGCATGTTTTATTTTTACATTTTCTAGAATGAATTATTCTCAATAGTGATTCTCATTTGTACACTGCAATTTTTACTGTATTACAGTACAAGATGCTAGAATACAATTTCATTTTTAAAAGTTAAATTAGTGTAAAGACAGTTCAGCAAATACTACAATGATGTATAAACAGTTTACAATTTTATTCACATTACAGTACTAAAGAATGGGATTTCTTTGCATTAATGAGAATTATTTGGGGAACTGTAATTCTCATAAAAATTATGTCTCAATGCAAACATTAACCAAAAACGCTTAATGTCTTTTCTCCATTTTTTTCCCTTTTTTATTGACTTTTGGGTTAAATGTGACCTAGAAATGACAGATTTCACCCCAAAAGCCCAATGTGTTTCAATTGAAATCAGTTCTACGGCCATATGTTGCATTTCTTTAGTATAAAACACAACCTGCAATCTCCTCCAGAGAGCTGGCTCTCATGTCCAGCATGACGGTGCCGTTGATGATGCAGCCCCGCAGCTCAAAGAGACTGTGCAGAGAGAGCGTCGCAACGTACGGTTTACTCCAGCGCTCACCTCCATCCTCCACGTCCTCTTCAAACTTCAGCCACCTGGACAAAGAGACACAGACATGGTTAAGGGAATAATTCACTCAAAAAAATGAACATTTGCTGTTATGTACTCGTCCTCAAGTCATCCAAGATGTAGATGAGTTTGTTTCTTCATCAGAACTGATTTGGAGAAATGTAGCATTCCATCACTTGTTCATCAATGGATGCTCTGCAGTGAATGGGTGCCGTCAGAATGAGAGTCCAAACAGCTGTTAAAAACATCACAATAATCCACACCATTCCAGTCCATCAGTTAACATCTTGTGAAGCAAAAAGCTGCGTGTTTGTAAGAAACAAATTGTAAAAAAAACAAATTAAAACATTTTTAACTTCAAACCATTGCTTCTGGACAAAGTGAGTCCATAATCCATAATAACGCTTCCTCCAGTGAAAAATTCCATCTCCTGTTGTCTCTCACATCAAAATCCACCCACATATTGGTTTAGAGTAGTTTTGGACTGTTTTTGTTTGTAAACGGTGCTTGATCTGTGCAGATTTCTCTCCTGATTCTGACAAGACGACTTTTTCGCTGGAGGAAGCAATATTATGGATAGAGGAATCATATTTTAACCGGAAGCAATGGTTTAAAGTTAAAATGCCTTAATGATGGATTTGTTTCTTACGAACACAGAGCTTTTGGCTTCACAAGATGTTAACTGATGGACTGGAGTGGTGTGGATTATTGTGATGTTTTTATCAGCTGTTTGGACTCTCATTCTGATGGCACCCATTCACTGCCGAGGATCCATTGGTGAAGAAATGATGGAATGATACATTTCTCCAAATCTGTTCTGATGAAGAAACAAATTCATCTACATCTTGGATGGCCTGAGAGTGAATGAATTGTCAGCAAATTTTCATTTTTGGGTGAACAATTTCTTTAAAAACAACCATAAATGCAGCCAGAATACCAATACCAATGTCTGTGGAAAATAAGAGCTCCAAGATACATTTCAGAATTAAGAGCATAACTTTCATATGAAGCTCTCGTACAAATCCAGAAGAACCAAAATACAGTGCACGAGATGTACAGTACAGACTTTATTTCATATGCCAAATATATCCTATTTGTCCTTTTTGGAGCTTGACAGCACTATGAACTGTCATGAACATTATGCAGATGAATAAATAATAACATAAATAATCTTGCTTATAACTTTTACTGAATAAGTAAATGGGAATTTGTGTTGCCTCATGTTCATTTTTAATATTTTTAGATATAAAAGCACTACAGTCTACATATTGTCTTCGCTTATTGAAGAAAAAATGAAAGCAAATCTCATGCTGAGCGCACTTGCATTTAGATGTGATGCCATATGACAATGTAGAAACCATCATCATTATAAGAGCTTTATTTAGCCTTTCTGTTTGATCACACGCACACAAATATTACATAACAATGCTTCTTTATATAACCTCAGATCTCTTGGAATAATGCTGCTCAACAGATTTAATGCATTAAACATCACTCATGCTCTCAAAACACATGAGAGGAGCCAAGAATCAATCTCTGAAAAACACTGACAAGGTTTCTTATCACATGCATTGGTCATATGACAAAATATGTAAATGGCCTCCTGTGTGTAAACACTTAGTTGTTTTTTCTAATATCATATAATTTTATTTTGATTTTAGTTTAAGTTTGAATAACATGTTATTGTCACGATGCACACAGGAGGAACGAGGTGACGCAGGAGAATACTTTGAGACTTTAATCCAAAAAACAAGGTTTACAGACACAGGAACTTCTGGGATGACATGTAACTCAAGGAAGACATAACAGCCGACGGGAAACAACCAATGGGACACACCTGGGAGCAAATTAACTAATTAATAAACATAGCTGGAAACAATTCACACAACGAGGACAGGAACGAGCAAATAAGGGCATAGGAGCACGTGGGGAGCACAACACACAGAACACGTGACATTACTCCCCCCTACCGAAAGGCGCGTCCCGCGCCGTAACAATTCCACCGGAAAGGGGGGGGTGGGCGCCCTGGAGGCTGGTGCAGGATGGGGACAAGGAAGGCCTCCAGGGCGGATCAGGCAGGTCTGGAGGCCATGGCGGAGCAAGGAGCTCGGGAGGCCATGGCGTAGCAGGGAGCTCGGGAGGCCATGGCGGAGCAGGCAGTTCGGGAGGCCATGGCGGATCCTCCGTGACCTTAGCTGGCTCGGCCACAGGCATATGCCCCCCCCCACCCAAATTTTCTTGGGGAAAATTAGGAATTCTGGGGGACGCTCTAGAGGAGCGGGCACTTGAGGGCGATCTGGAGGAGATTCAGGGACTAGAGCCCTCCCTGGGCTGAACTGGGGGGGGTGAAAGGCGTGGTTCGGCGGGCTTGAGAATGCCGCAGCCGGCAGGCTGGAGCGAGCCACGGTCGGCGGGCTGGAGCGAGCGGAGACTTCCATGCCGTAAAAGGTCACATGGCTAAAATAGGCAGCTAAAAGCTTCAGAGACCCGAAACGGTTCTGTGTTCAACACACGTTTTGTGGATAATAATAAAGCACAGAAAAGAAGCAGCTGCTCTCTGAGTCATCATGATGATCTGCTAAAGGAGCAACACACACTCAAACTCTGAGCCTGTCGAGATCACAGCCAAACAGAGACAGAGAGCACTTCAAAGAAACATAATACAACAGGACAGACCGTCAAAGAGAAACAGAAATGATGAAATGATATCAGAAGGAACAGAGGAAGACAGCAAACAAACAGAAAAAGAGGTTCTTACTGAGTATTTTTGTTGTTTTTGCAAAACATCTAAATATTCTTAATTCAAGATACCTTTGCTTGTGATGAAAAAGGACATTATTATTAAAATAAATAAATGAATTAAATTTAAATTTTATTAAAATTTTAACACATTTATTCAAAATTTAATTTGCTTACCTCACTGGCAGATTTTATTTTTTTTTGTTTTATTTAAGCTTAAATCTGCTTAATTTTTATATTTTTTAGTAAACAAAATTAACATTTTAAATCATTTTGTGTCTCAACTAAATGTACAGTATCTTGACTTAACCCTGTAAAGACATTTTAATAGAACAGTTTATTGAACCTTTAGACAAATTTGATGCATCAGGCTTTTATGGCTCATATACTATGATACAGTGAGATCTCGGTTTCATTCAGAGGCCCAAACTGTCACTATATATATATCACAATAATATGTCGCATTTATTAAGATGATATTTAAATGCCTAGATTGATTATCAAAACATATAATGCAGTGCAATACAATGATGATTGAGAGATGAACAAATAAATCCTCAAGCCTGATGATCATATTTTATACTCACATTTGAACATGATATTTATAATAAATGATATCTTGCTAATCAAGTGAATCCAAGATGAAACTGTTCATCTTGAAATATTACTAATAACACCAAATGTTTACTTTATAAAAATGTTTTATCAGATTTCGCAGCAAAAAAACGCAAGAAGCACGAGCTGAAGTAGGACGTTTGTACAATTACACTAAAAAGCCTTTTACTTGCTAAAAATGTATAAAGTATCAATCAGATGACAGAAGGCAAGGAGTACAGTACACTCTTAAAAATAAAGGTGCTTCACGATGCCATATAATCTTGAAATATTACTAATAACACCAAATGTTTACTTTATAAAAATGTTTTATCAGATTTCGCAGCAAAAAAAACGCAAGAAGCACGAGCTGAAGTAGGACGTTTGTACAATTACACTAAAAAGCCTTTTACTTGCTAAAAATGTATAAAGTATCAATCAGATGACAGAAGGCAAGGAGTACAGTACACTCTTAAAAATAAAGGTGCTTCACGATGCCATAGAAGAACCTTTTTGTCTAAATGGTTCCATAAAGAACCTTCAACATCTGAAGAACCTTTCTGTTTCACAAAAGGTTCTTTGTGGTGAAAGAAGGTTCTTCAGATTATAAAAAGGTAAGAAAGAGATGGTTCTTTAAAGAACCTTTGACTGAATGTTTCTTTGTGGAACCAAAAAAGGTTCTTCTATGGCAGGGGTGGCGAACGTCGGTCCTGGAGAGCCGCAGCCCTGCAGAGTTTTGCTTCAACCCTAATCAAACACACCTGAACAAGCTAATCAAGTTATAGGGTTAAGAATGTGTCGATATTTGTACTGAAAAACAGGAGAAAAACACAGAGTAAGAAAGTCACTGAAGGAAGGATGGATGTTACTGTATGAAGGAGATTCGTGTCCGTCTTCGACGCCCGAGTCTCTCTCCCTGCTCCTCTTTCTGTGTCGGTGTCCATGATGCCGATGACGGCGGTGGGACGGTGGGATCAGAGGAACATGAACCCCGATATACAGAGTCCTGTGACCTATCCATCAAACACAAACACAAGCACGCAGAGACGCAGAGATTAATGATTTCATTCACATTCTGAGGTCACTTGCTAATTAGAATTTTTTTCAGCAACAGAAAACAGCACAGATCTCAACATAACTTTCTCTGAAATTAAACCTCATATGCACTGTAAAAACATGATTTTTCACATTTCCAATTCTTCCAGTGCAATTGGAACATGCTAAATGCTCATCTATAAAAACTAAATATTTTTAAAAAGACAGTATTTTAAAGATGTGAATAACAAATATTGGACAAAATATTTTTTCAGACAATATTGGAGCGATATTTTCCAGCAGTGGATGAATTGCTGTGATCAAAAACACCATACCAAAATATAAGAGCAGTGTTATTTTAGTATTATTATAATATTCTATTTTTATAGTATTTATAGTTTTAGCTTTCATTTTTATATTAGATTTCATTTTAGTTTAGGATTTAGTAATACATCATGTGTTTTTATTACTCCTATTTTGCCTATTTTATTTAATTTTTTTAACTTTTATTTCAGTTTTAGTTTCATTTAGTTTATTTTAAGTTGCAAAGAAAACATTTCTAATTTTCATTTATTCATCTTTTCATCTAATATTCGTATTTTATTTTAGCTTTATTTTAATTAGCGAAACGGTGTTATTTTAGTAATAGTTATATACTATTATAGTGTTCTGTTTTTACTATTAAAGTATTTGAAGTATTAGCTTTTATTTTTGTATTTTCTGTTTTAGTTTAAGTTTAAGTATGTTATGTACTTTCATCATTTTTGTTAGTTTTTTGTTTTTAATGTTTCTATTTTATTTAATGATGTTGCTAAAAAGAACATTATTTTGTGTATTTGGTGTAATGAAATGTGTTTATGCGGTGTAAGGTTCAAAAAACACATTATTTTCCACATACTGTACATTATTGTTTCTCCTCTATGCCCCGCCTTTCTGAAACACGTCGATTTTTACAAAGCTCATCGGTCTGAAAAGCGAGGTGTGCTCTGATTGGCCAGCTATTCAGTGCATTGTGATTGGCCGAATTCCTCAAGCGTGTGACGGAAATGTTATGCCCCTTACCATACTGTGATGCCGTCACAAAAGGTTCTTTGTGGTGAAAGAAGGTTCTTCAGATTATAAAAAGGTAAGAGAGAGATGGTTCTTTAAAGAACCTTTGACTGAATGGTTCTTTGTGGAACCAAAAATGGTTCTTCTATGGCATCGCTTGAAGAACCTTTTGAAGCACCTTTATTTTTAAGAGTGTAGTGCAGGTTTTTTTAGCAGTTTTGATCTTGTTGATCAGAAATGGGCTTTATAGGGTTAAGAATGTGTCGATATTTGTACTGAAAAACAGGAGAAAAACACAGAGTAAGAAAGTCACTGAAGGAAGGATGGATGTTACTGTATGAAGGAGATTCGTGTCCGTCTTCGACGCCCGAGTCTCTCTCCCTGCTCCTCTTTCTGTGTCGGTGTCCATGATGCCGATGACGGCGGTGGGATCTTCTGCCCAGAGGAACATGAACCCCGATATACAGAGTCCTGTGACCTATCCATCAAACACAAACACAAGCACGCAGAGATTTAGTGATTAATGATTTCATTCACATTCTGAGGTCACTTGCTAATTAGAATTTTTTTCAGCAACAGAAAACAGCACAGATCTCAACATAACTTTCTCTGAAATTAAACCTCATATGCACTGTAAAAACATGATTTTTCACATTTCCAATTCTTCCAGTGCAATTGGAACATGCTAAATGCTCATCTATAAAAACTAAATATTTTTAAAAAGACAGTATTTTAAAGATGTGAATAACAAATATTGGACAAAATATTTTTTCAGACAATATTGGAGCGATATTTTCCAGCAGTGGATGAATTGCTGTGATCAAAAACACCATACCAAAATATAAGAGCAGTGTTATTTTAGTATTATTATAATATTCTATTTTTATAGTATTTATAGTTTTAGCTTTCATTTTTATATCAGATTTCATTTTAGTTTAGGATTTAGTAATACATCATGTGTTTTTATTACTCCTATTTTGCCTATTTTATTTAATTTTTTTAACTTTTATTTCAGTTTTAGTTTCATTTAGTTTATTTTAAGTTGCAAAGAAAACATTTCTAATTTTCATTTATTCATCTTTTCATCTAATATTCGTATTTTATTTTAGCTTTATTTTAATTAGCGAAACGGTGTTATTTTAGTAATAGTTATATACTATTATAGTGTTCTGTTTTTACTATTAAAGTATTTGAAGTATTAGCTTTTATTTTTGTATTTTCTGTTTTAGTTTAAGTTTAAGTATGTTATGTACTTTCATCATTTTTGTTAGTTTTTTGTTTTTAATGTTTCTATTTTATTTAATGATGTTGCTAAAAAGAACATTATTTTGTGTATTTGGTGTAATGAAATGTGTTTATGCGGTGTAAGGTTCAAAAAACACATTATTTTCCACATACTGTACATTATTGTTTCTCCTCTATGCCCCGCCTTTCTGAAACACGTCGATTTTTACAAAGCTCATCGGTCTGAGTTTCCTTCATAATTATGAATTATAAAGCACAATTATAAAATAATTATACAGTGCCTACTTTTTGGAATGGATGCTGCCTTAAACATATGAAACCTGCTGTCTAGGTAGGCTGCTCACTAGGTTTTGAAGTGGATAATTCACTAGAAACACTTTGGTGTACTATTTTTTGGTTCAATAATTACATTTGCTAAACATATTTAACCCATACAGTTATTCATCTTTTTGAACAATGCTAAAATAACAGTCATCACTCAGTTTAATTTACGTACTGGGAAAAGATAACATATGTCCATCATATATTATTATACTGTATATCATCTGTCTGAAAACATAACATAGCTACACACATTTAATATACAGTAATGGCAACATATAGAAACATATCTTTCTCTTCCTGCCAGTTAAAATGTCTCTAAACAGCTGCAGAAAGCTGGATGAAATGAGGCTTAAATCACATCATAAAGCTCTCCTGGTGTCTCTGAATTACATAACATTATGAGAAGGACTGAAAGCGTCATCCTGCGATGGGAAAGCTCAATGACATTAGCTTACAGATACATTTCCAAAGCTTTAGACTTTATACGATCGACATGGTATGTTTACAAATGCTGACATGTGAAACTTGAGATGACGTGCAGATGCTCATAAGATTCAGAGGTGTGTCTGTGATCAAAAACACCAGACCACAATATGGTATTTCAGGATTCTTTGATGAATAGAAAGTTCAAAAGAACAGCATTTACTTGAAATATGAATCTTTTGTAACATTATAAATGTCTTCACTGTCAATTTTGATCAATTTAATGCATCTTGCTGAATAAAAATATGAATTCCTTTAAAAAAACTTTTCAACGCTAATGCCTTCGAATTTGGGGCAAATAAATATATACATGCATGACAAATAAAATTAACTGCAAAAAACTAAATCACACATATGATTTATATGAGACATAAAAATGTCTCCAAAAATATTTTTTGTTTAAATTCTTAGTATGTATTTACCCTCTAGCTCCTCCTTCTCCAGTCCAGCTTTAAGCATTGAGTGAGTGCCTCCTCTGTCCACTACGGCCTCCTCATCATTCCTCTGTGTGTAGAGAGAGAGAGAGAGAGAGAGAGAGATGTCAGTGTGAAGGTCTGTCTCAGAGCAACAGGTGCAATGGTTGCGTCTCACTGACAGATGCATTGGTCCCGAACTGTCATACAGAGACACACTGACCACACGCATGCTGTCTTAAAGTCTTAAAATTATGGACATATAAAAAAAAAAAATTTTTAATTACAAAAATAGACAACAAAATTACTAAAACTTTAACTAAAATTAAAATGAAAACGGAAATACAAAAATAAAAACAAATTCAAAATATTATTAAAACCTGTAATATCTCAATGATATTAAAGGGGTCCTATTATGCTTTTTAACTTTTTCACCTTTAGTTAGTCTGTAATGTTGCTGTTTGAGCATAAAAACGATCTGCAAAGTTACAAAGTTCAAAGTCCACTTCAAAAGGAGATATTTTATTTAACAGAAATCACTTTTCAAAAACTACAACGAACGACTCGTTTGGACTACAACGCATATTTTCCGGGATTTGTGATATCACAAATATCGAC